CCAGCCAGGGTTGCCACACCAGCCCTAGACAGATGTACCCCAACCCAAGCATAAAGATCCCTTCTACCGTGTAATTCACATCTTCAGGAGTGAGTATATATATATAAACCATATATAAACCGTGTGTGTGTGTGTGTGTGTGTATATATATATATAAATATATATATATATATATATATATATATATATATATATATATATATATATATATATATATATATATATATATATATATATATATATATATATATATGTTAAGGCACAAGTTCTGCGGTTTAGCTTCGGGGGTGAGTACAGACTAGTAGTCACCCTGAAGATGTCTGGGTTTTCTTCTTTCCTTGGTTACTCAGCATATATATACGCACCTACAGTGATTTACTTGCATATATATATATATATATATATATATATATATATATATATATATATATATATATATATATATATATATATATATATATATACACACACACACATATATATATATATATATATATATATATATATATATATATATATATATATATATATATATATATATATATATATATATATATATATATATATATATATATATATATATATATATATATATATATATATATATATATATATATATATATATATATATATATATATATATATATATATATATATATATATATAGGGTGACAATCAAGTCGTTAAGTTACTCATACTGGTCTTGTTTCCGTGTGGTCGTGACTTTTTAAACAAATCTATCCAGAGTATCATTAACATACAATAACATAACTAATTGTATATGTGTTGGCCAATATTCTCACTCTTCTTTCTTTTATATCCGTATTACTACCTGACAATGTTACGATGTCAGCCACTCCGTAGAACAAGTAAATACATGAGGATAGGAAGAACAAAAGTTGCTGACCATGGATATCATATGTACATCACGATCAAGAAGACCACTGTAGAGAAGGATATAGGGGTAGTCATCGCTGATAAGCTGATGTTCTCTGACCATCTAGCTGAGAAAATCAACAAGGCTAATAAAATTGTGGGCATTATTAGAAGAACTTTTGTTCATCTGGATGCACCTATATTCAAGGCTCTGTACACTGCTCTGGTTGGGCCACACCTTGAGTATGCTAATCAAATTTGGTGCCCATATCTCATTAAGGATATTGAAGCAGTAGAGAATGTACAGAGGAGGGCTACCAAATTAGTACTACAGATCAAGGATATATCTTATGAGGAAAGACTAAGGAAATTACAGTTACCGACACTGGCGTACAAAGATCTCATGGGGACCAAGTGGAAACATACAAGATAGTGTGTGGCATATATGACCAGGCATGTACAGCAGGAATGTTCCAGATAAGGGAGGCTGACACTACCCGGGGGAACACACAGAAGATCTACAAAACAAGAGCGAGGCTAAATCTCAGAAGACATTCGCTCCAGAGTAGGGTTGTCAACAACTGGAATGGGTTACCTGAGTGGATAGTGAATGTGGAGACGGTGGAAAAGTTTGAAGCAAAATTAGATAAATACTGGAAAAATCAAGAACAAGTATATAATTATAGGGCACAAATATCCGCCACACGCAGCCACCGTCTGAGTAGAGAAGAGGCTATTGAGCTGGAGTCACAGGCGTGAGCCTCTTCCAGAAGATCATCTGTGAGTAATACCGGAAGAAGTACCAGAGCGGAGCCCCGAATTATATACTGTATACTAATTGATTTGTTTACAAAAAGCTGGAGCTGGAAAATCAATGTTTTTATGCCTGTCTATATTTTGTTGACTTATGACCATTTTAAACGTTTACATCACCCAGTTTATAAAGTGAAACTGCCAAATCTATTAGCCTGAAAACTGTAAATTGCAATAAAGTTATTCTAAACCAGTGTGAAATATGTACTTGCAGTGCAATGTTTGTGTGACGGAATAACATACTTATGTAATGAGATGCAACCATTTTAAAGCCTGCATTTTATATCCCAATTTCACTGCACTTTCAAGATTTACATAATCTTTTTTTTTGTAATCATAGATAATGCGAATATGCATGGTTTATATACTCATAGGTATGGATTATCTCTTGAATTGGGTGCAAGTAATCATGGGTACGACTGATCTCGGAGTTGGGTACGAGTTGTCTTAGGTACGAGATGACCCTAACCCCACCACATTTACCAATTAATTTTGTTTTCCCAATGGTTTTTGATGTGTTTTCAACACTTTTTACCCTGATTTTTATAGCAAATCTCTATAGATTCTGAGATGGGAGGGGAACTAATCTCAGACTCTTGAATTGCGCCAGATATGAAGGTCAAATTCGTTCATAACACAGCAAAAACCATTGGAACTTCATAAAAACAAAAAAATAAGGAGTCTGCAATAGGCCGGTTAGCCTGTGCATGGCAGCTCCTGTCGAGAGTAACTACCACTCTCTATCATCCATGAATCTATCTAGCATCCTTTTAAAACTTTCCAGCGTTCCTGCACTTACTACAAAGTTGCTAAGCTTGTTCCACTCGTCCACCACCCTATTTGTGAGCCAGTTCCTTCCAATCTCCCTCCTAAACCTAAACTTATCCAACTTAAATCCGTTGCTACGAGTCCTATCCTGCTCGGATATTATAAGAACTTTATCTATATCCCCTTTATTGATTCCTTTCACCTACTTAAAAACTTCTATCATATCTCCCCACACTCTTTGTCTTTCTAGGGAATGAAAGTTTAGTTTCTTTAACCTATCTTGATATGGAAGGCTTCTAAGTCCCCGAATCATTTTCGTCATTCTTCGCTGCACCGACTCCAGTGAATTGATATTCATTCTATAATAAGGGCACCAGAACTGAACCGCATAATCGAGGTGCGGCCTGACTAACGCAAGATATAGTTGCAATAAGACCTCTGCACACTTATTACTTACATAAGAACATAAGAAAATAAGGAGTCAGCAATAGGCCGGTTGGCCTGTGCATGGCAGCTCCTGTAGAGAGTTACTACCACTCTATCATCCATGAATCTATCTTGCCTCCTTTTGAAACTTTCCAGGGTTCCCGCACTTACTACAAAGTTGCTAAGCTTGTTCCACTCGTCCACCACCCTATTTGTGAACCAGTTTCTTCCTATCTCCCTCCTAAACCCAAACTTATCCAACTTGAATCCGTTGCTCCGAGTCCTATCCCGCTCGGATATTATAAGAACTTTATCAATATCCCCTTTATTGATTCCTTTCACCCACTTAAATACTTCTATCATATCTCCCCACACTCTTCGTCTTTCTAGGGAATGCAAGTTAAGTTTCTTTAGCCTATCCTGATATGGAAGGTTTCTAAGTCCCGGAATCATTTTTGTCATTCTTCGCTGCACCGACTCTAGTGAATTTATATCCATTCTATAATAGGGGCACCAGCACTGAACCTCATAATTGAGGTGTGGCCTGACTAGCGCAAGATATAGTTGCAATAAGATCTCTGCACTTTTGTTACTTACACTTCTAAATATAAAACCCAATACTCTGTTTGCCTTATTTCGAACATTAACGCACTGTTTTCTAGGCCGTAGGTCCGGGCTTACAAGTACCCCTAGGTCTCTTTCACAAGTCGACTTCTCTAGGTTGATGTTGTTAAGGCTATATACATTATAAGTATTTGTTCTTCCAATATTAAGTATGCATTTGCATCCTGCCCTGAATTAATTTGCCGCCCTATTTTGGTGTCACCCGCAAACTTGCTTATGTCACTTACACTTCTAGATATAAAACCTAATACTCTGTTTGCCTTATTTCGAACATTAACGCACTGTTTTCTAGGCCGTAGGTCCGGGCCTACAAGTACCCCTAATTCTCTTTCACAAGTCGACCTCTCGAGGTATTTGTTCTTCCAATATTAAGTATGCTGCAATTGCTGGTGTTGAATTTCATTTGCCATTTCTCTGACCACTCCTGCAGCTTACTTAAATCCTCCTGTAGTGCATTTGCATCCTGCCCCGGTCCGACTAATTACCCAAATGTAGCCGCAATGAAATCAAATAATGGTTCTACATGAATAAATCGGACTGCCAACCACTTTTCGACTAGTATTTGGTGTCACAAAGTAAAAAAAAATTGGAAAACTTAATTTAATCTGAGTTAATAGATCGCGTGCTTGTACCGAGGGAGCGAGTAATTACCCAAATGAACCCAAATGTAGTCGCAATGAAGTCAAATGATGGTCCTACAAGCATAAATCGGGCTGTGAATCACTTCTCGATTATTATTTGGTGTCATAGTCACAAAAAATTGGTAAACTTAATATAATCTGAGTTGTGTTAGGTTAGGTACATGCACTCGATCTATTAACTCAGATTAAATTAAGTTTTCCAATTTTTTGTGACTATGACACCAAATAATAATCGAGAAGTGATTCACAGCCCGATTTACTCATGTAGGACCATTATTTGACTTCATTTCGGCTACATTTGGGTACATTTGAGTAATTAGTCGGACCCTCCTGCCCTGAATTAATCTGCCTTCGATTTTGTTTAGTTGCAACAAAGGAAATTTTACAGAAATCAAAGTCAGATTTGAATACAACACGTAAAAAACACACACCAAATAAATCTATTCTCGTACCAAAACATGAGGACAGCCAATGTACGAATATTTACCGTGGTTTCTTTCTTACTCCACCGGAAAACCCACATTGTGCACTAAAGCGAACAATATGGTGAAAATCCGGGGGAAAAAATAAAACACCACTGAAAATAAAGGGTTACTATAAACTATATGTATCACACTTAAAATTTCACCCAGACTTGTGCATTGGAAACATGTAAACACAGTAGACCAAAACGCACATACCATATTTACCACCAATTATCACCGTAATTTTTCGAGTTTGGTCCATATTATCAACAAACACGATAGCTCACATCTAAATATTTTAAGCACATTAGCATCTACCATCTTATATACAACAGATGCGAGGATAAATAGCGATATTTTCAAACAGAACGAGCACACACACACGTACCATATCGGCGGTCTGTGGGGAAGGGTCCGAGGAACTGTTGATATCGTTGATGAAGTTGAAGTAAATTTTCATGTTGGAATATAACTACCTATCTTACTGACAATTAAAAACATTTAAAAATTTTACTGGAATAATTCTTAATAATAAAATAGTACTCATGTAAAACTAAACTACATTGCTGTAATATAATAAATATCAGAGGAGGAAATTTGCAAATAACTTTTGATTAAAAAGTAACATGAACATAATTGCTGAATAACTTATTCATCTTACTCAATAATTCAACCAGATTTTATGGAGTTTTAGGCTACATCATGCATATTTTAGTCCTATGCTTTAAAAAATATAGTGTTCTGTACTGTTCGTGGTACTTTATCAACTTCTGCTCTTTGCAGACGTCTTATGAATATCGTGAAACTCACTACGAAAAAAAAATCATGATTTAAATTTATGGTAAGTACTGTTCATATCCAGACGAAACTAGTGTCTCAACTTAGCGGTAGAGTGGTAACGTGCTTGCCTCTCATCACTCCTTTGCAGGTTCAATTCCTGAGTCAGAAGTGAGACGAATGTTATTCTGCGTGGCCCTAATTATATAAAAATAACAATATTTATTAAGAAAAATTGGCATATTTATTAACTATGCAAGTATATAGTTCAGCATTATAATAAAAATAATAATTATTATTATAATTATTATTATACCATTTATACGGTACATGTATAATGTATATGCAGTAGGCCGTGTGAGCATAAAGTAAATTCCTATATGTCTAAGAGTTGACAGAGCAAGTATTAAAAAAAATGGTATACAATAAGGCATTTAACCAAGAATAGCCGACAAAGTTGCCAGATTCTTATTTCCAGGAGGATCTTACCAAACATTCGCAGGTTATAGATTACTTTACTTTGATACTACAGTAGTCGACTTCCTTGCTGGTCGGGCGGTCTGTAATTTCTAAGTTACAATACAATTCATTAATAAGGACGAGAAGCGGTGCTTTCAACGTGGTAAGGTCGTTGGCTTATAAATTTATATATTTATATATATATATATATATATATATATATATATATATATATATATATATATATATATATATATATATATATATATATATGCTGGTTCTTGTCAATTTATATAAAGCACTGCCCTACAGGGTTCTTTTTCTTCCACTGTCCTGTGGTAGTGAAATGCTTAGCGGTTGCGTTGCAGTCTGACATCTACCTCTTTAATTAAAAGAAGGGAAAGTGCAGGAGATCGATTAACGAAAGTCAATGTCAACCTATTCTTCCTTACCGAACGGGGTGCAAGGGAGCTTAATTAGATAAGGTCTTTCTATTGGAATTATTAGAAGTTTGTCATAGGAGCAGGGGTGTTTTAGTTTTGTTTCCACAGCCTTTACTTATATTGTTATTATTGTTATAAAAAAAATGCAATTTGAACATTAAAATTTGACCATTCTTTAATGATTCGATTTTAAGATAAAACAAACTGAACTCATCTAACGTATCCAATACTAAACAAACCATACCACATCCACCCGCGGTACATAGCTTAAGATAAAGGGTGGAACAAAAGGGGGGTTACTAGCGAGAGGTAAAATGCCAACAGCATCTGGTGTTCCCAGGCGGTCACCCATCCAAGTACTAACCAGACCCAATGTTGCTTAACTTCGCTGATCGGACGAGAAGCGGTGTTTTCAACGTGGTATGGCCGTTGGCATCAATATAAGCTGGTTCTTGTCAATTTATATAAAGCACTGCCCTACAGGGTTCTTTTTCTTCCACTGTCCTGTGGTAGTGAAATGCTTAGCGGTTGTGTTGCAGTCTGACATCTACCTCTTTAATTAAAAGAAGGGAAAGTGCAGGACATCGATAAACGAAAGTCAATGTCAACCTATTCTTCCTTACCGAACGGGGTGCAAGGGAGCTTAATTAGATAAGGACTTTCTATTGGAATTATTAGAAGTTTGTCATAGGAGCAGGGGTGTTTTAGTTTTGTTTCCACAGCCTTTACTTATATTGTTATTATTGTTATAAAAAAATGCCATTTGAACACTAAAATTTGACCATTTTTTAATTATTCGATTTTAAGATAAAACAAACTGAAATCATCTAACGTATCCAATACTAAACAAACCATACCACATCCACCCGCGGTACATAGCTTAAGATAAAGGGTGGAACAAAAGGGGGGTTACTAGCGAGAGGTAAAATGCCAACAGCATCTGGTGTTCCCAGGCGGTCACCCATCCAAGTACTAACCAGACCCAATGTTGCTTAACTTCGCTGATCGGACGAGAAGCGGTGTTTTCAACGTGGTATGGCCGTTGGCATCTATATAAGCTGGTTCTTGTCAATTTATATAAAGCACTGCCCTACAGGGTTCTTTTTCTTCCACTGTCCTGTGGTAGTGAAATGCTTAGCGGTTGCGTTGCAGTCTGACATCTACCTCTTTAATTAAAAGAAGGGAAAGTGCAGGAGATCGATTAACGAAAGTCAATGTCAACCTATTCTTCCTTACCGAACGGGGTGCAAGGGAGCTTAATTAGATAAGGTCTTTCTATTGGAATTATTAGAAGTTTGTCATAGGAGCAGGGGTGTTTTAGTTTTGTTTCCACAGCCTTTACTTATATTGTTATTATTGTTATAAAAAAAATGCCATTTGAACATTAAAATTTGACCATTCTTTAATGATTCGATTTTAAGATAAAACAAACTGAACTCATCTAACGTATCCAATACTAAACAAACCATACCACATCCACCCGCGGTACATAGCTTAAGATAAAGGGTGGAACAAAAGGGGGGTTACTAGCGAGAGGTAAAATGCCAACAGCATCTGGTGTTCCCAGGCGGTCACCCATCCAAGTACTAACCAGACCCAATGTTGCTTAACTTCGCTGATCGGACGAGAAGCGGTGTTTTCAACGTGGTATGGCCGTTGGCATCTATATAAGCTGGTTCTTGTCAATTTATATAAAGCACTGCCCTACAGGGTTCTTTTTCTTCCACTGTCCTGTGGTAGTGAAATGCTTAGCGGTTGCGTTGCAGTCTGACATCTACCTCTTTAATTAAAAGAAGGGAAAGTGCAGGAGATCGATAAACGAAAGTCAATGTCAACCTATTCTTCCTTACCGAACGGGGTGCAAGGGAGCTTAATTAGATTAGGTCTTTCTATTGGAATTATTAGAAGTTTGTCATAGGAGCAGGGGTGTTTTAGTTTTGTTTCCACAGCCTTTACTTATATTGTTATTATTGTTATAAAAAAAATGCCATTTGAACATTAAAATTTGACCATTCTTTAATGATTCGATTTTAAGATAAAACAAACTGAACTCATCTAACGTATCCAATACTAAACAAACCATACCACATCCACCCGCGGTACATAGCTTAAGATAAAGGGTGGAACAAAAGGGGGGTTACTAGCGAGAGGTAAAATGCCAACAGCATCTGGTGTTCCCAGGCGGTCACCCATTCAAGTACTAACCAGACCCAATGTTGCTTAACTTCGCTGATCGGACGAGAAGCGGTGTTTTCAACGTGGTATGGCCGTTGGCATCTCTATATGCTGGTTCTTGTCAATTTATATAAAGCACTGCCCTACAGGGTTCTTTTTCTTCCACTGTCCTGTGGTAGTGAAATGCTTAGCGGTTGCGTTGCAGTCTAACATCTACCTCTTTAATTAAAAGAAGGGAAAGTGCAGGAGATCGATTAACGAAAGTCAATGTCAACCTATTCTTCCTTACCGAACGGGGTGCAAGGGAGCTTAATTAGATAAGGTCTTTCTATTGGAATTATTAGAAGTTTGTCATAGGAGCAGGGGTGTTTTAGTTTTGTTTCCACAGCCTTTACTTATATTGTTATTATTGTTATAAAAAAAATGCAATTTGAACATTAAAATTGGACCATTCTTTAATGATTCAATTTTAAGATAAAACAAACTGAACTCATCTAACGTATCCAATACTAAACAAACCATACCACATCCACCCGCGGTACATAGCTTAAGATAAAGGGTGGAACAAAGGGGGTTACTAGCGAGAGGTAAAATGCCAACAGCATCTAGTGTTTAGGCGGTCACCCATCAAGTATTCTTAGACCCAATGTTCAACCTTCGCTGATCGGACGAAGCGGTGTGTTTTTCAACGTGGTATAGCCGTTAGCATCAATATAGCTATTCTTGTCAATTTATATAAGCGCACCTACAGGGGTTCTTTTTCTTCCACTGTCCTGTAATCATTGAAATGTATGATTGTTTGCAGCCTGACATCTACCTCTTTAATTAAAAGAAGGGAAAGCGCAGAAGATCGATAAACGAAAGTCAAGGGCAACCTCTCATCCTTACCGAACGAGGGTGCAGGGGAGCTTAATTATATAAGGTCTTTCTAGTGAAAATTTTAGAAGCTTGTGAGGAGAGCAAAGGTCTTTTAGTTTTGTTTCCACAATAACCTACTTATATTGTTATTATTGTTATAAAAAAATGCCATTTGAACATTAAAGAATTTGACCATTTCTTTAATGATTCGATTTTAAGATAAAAGCTCGACGAACTCATCTAACAGTATCAATACTAAACAAACCTTCTTCATCCACCGCGGTACATAGCTTAAGATAAAGATTGGAACAAAAGGGGTTACTAGCGAGGTAAAATGCCAACAGCATCTGGTGTTCCCAGAGCGGTCACCCATCCAGAGTACTAACCAGACCCAATGTTGCTTAACTTCGCTGATCAGACGAGAAGCGGTGTTTTCAACGTGGTATGGCCGTTGGCATCTATATAAGCTGGTTCTTGTCAATTTATATAAAGCACTGCCCTACAGGGTTCTTTTTCATCCACTGTCCTGTGGTAGTGAAATGCTTAGCGGTTGCGTTGCAGTCTGACATCTACCACCTTTAATTAAAAGAAGGGAAAGTGCAGGAGATCGATTAACGAAAGTCAATGTCAACCTATTCTTCCTTACCGAACGGGGTGCAAGGGAGCTTAATTAGATAAGGTCTTTCTATTGAAATTATTAGAAGTTTGTCATAGGAACAGGGGTGTTTTAGTTTTGTTTCCACAGCCTTTACTTA